CCCCCCCGCCGGCGCAACACCCGGCACCCCCCGGGGGGTGCTGGCAGACCACAAAAAGCCGAGGGCCCCCCTCCCCAGGGGGCCCCGGGTCGGCCACCCGCGGGCGCATCGGCCCCGCCGCCGCCCTAAGCTTCTCTTTTTTTTTTCTTTTTTTCGTCGCGCCGCGCGCGGGCCAGCCGGGCTCGTGTTGCCGCGGGCCGATGCGTCGAAGGTGGGGCCTCGCCATTCGGGCGGGGCCGCACGCGGCGCGGGCCCCTCGCCCATGCGGGCCCTCCCGGACCCGCGTGGGGCCCCCCGAGGAGGGCGACGGTTTTTTTTTCCACAACGGGGGGGCGGTGCGGCGCACCTATTTTCTCGGCCGAGCGCCGGGCGAGGCTGGTTTTTTTTCTTTTTCCTCCGTTATTGGTTTTTTCCACCGCGCGGGGGTTTCTTTGTTGCTAGGAAAGCCGGCGGTGGGCGCGTGGCGGCGCGGGAAAGCAGGACGCGGTGTGGGTAGAACTTCGCGCTTCTGAAGCGGGCGCTCCGAACGAATGCAGCAATAACTTTGACAGAATTCTATTTTGATCATTTTTTTCTTTTTTGCACCTTTTGGAAGTATGCGTCGATTTCAGCGTAGCGGCGTCTTTGGGTTGTGTCCGGCCCGCTTTTTTATCGTCGGTACTCGCGGAAATATCCCTGAAATTGGTTCCTTATCTGCGTTTGAAAGTAGACGCAGGAGGCGTATGAGACTTAGTAGTGAAAATGCAAGAGATCACAAACAAAAAAACAGTGTATCTCAGGTGCCGGTGGTGGATGAAGATGAGGCGAAGTCGGTCTGCTTTGAGAACTATGGGTTTCTTCAAAAGCCTTTACAGTTTGCCCTTTGGTCAGAATTTTTGCAAGAGCTTCGCCGGATCGAGTTTCGTTGGACTTTGGCTCCAAGTGCTGGCGGCGTTATTGTGTTTACTGTTTTGGAACACGGAGTAGAAGGCGAAAAGGTGTTATGCAAACTAAATGGGTCCACAGGATCCTCACCGATTGCGGAGTTTTTTGAGTGCTGCGGAATTCTTACTCAAGGGACCTGTGACAAACGTTCTGTAAGATTCCTAGATCTTGACGGTAGTGGGCATGTGCTTAGCGTTGTGTCCAAGCGAAAAATCGATGCTAATAATGCAGCCCCCCCTGTATGTGATGAACCAATTCTACCTGTGTTAGCTCAGTACAATTGCAGAGGAACATCAGTGGATGTTTCGGTAATAAATGTCAGGACAGATGTCGTCACTCCTGTGTTCCATGAACTATCTTTGCAGACCTTTAATTACGCTTTTCTGACTTCGATACCCGTATTTCTTAAACGTGCCGATGTAGGGATAAGGAACGCTGACTTTGTCTCGAAGGAGCAAATGCGGCACTTTCGTTTTGCATGGTGCTTTCTGCGGCGGGAATCAATGATGACAGCCGTTGAAATGAACGAGTTGGATTTCTTATTACCGCCTTGATGCATATATATGCTTTTGATTTTGCTAAAATACACTGATTGAAATTCCCATTTTGGAATCTGTTATATATATATATATATATGAAAGCAAAAGTGATGGGTAGGGTCTATGTCCTTTCTTTTTTTTCTTTACGCAGATAAATAAATAACGATAGGCCGTTTTACACAAATGCGGAGTCTTCGTCTAAGAATTGTTCCACTTTTTGCACAGCGGTCTCTTGTGCCTTTAATAACTTCTCGCGCATGGTGTGCAAACCAGGCAGCCAAAGAAAACGACCAAAACGGCGCTAATAAGGCTAAAGAAGGACCCTTAATAACCCAGGAGGCATTTGCAAAAATGGAAAAGGAGCTTGAATCTGCAAGGGAGAGTATTGCCGAACTAAAAAAAGATCTCCTCTATCGTGCTGCAGATGCTGAAAATGCCCGCCGTATTGGACGTGAGGATGTTCATAAAGCGAAGAGCTATGGAATATCGTCATTTGGCAAAGATATACTGGAAGTCGTGGATACGCTTGAAAAAGGTCTTGAAGCCATGTCGAAGATCCCGATTGAGGAGCTTGAAAGTAATAAAAATATGAGTTCTATTCACACAGGTGTTAAACTTTCTACCAAGTTGTTGTTGAGCAACTTGGCAAAACACGGAATTGAAAAACTGATTGTCCAGAAGGGTGACAAGTTTGATCCCAACGTGCATGATGCGTTGATGAAAACATCCCCAACTCCTGAAATCCCAAGCGGACATATTTCCGTTGTGCTGAAAGGTGGATACAAGATTCAAGATCGTGTGCTACGGGCGCCCCAAGTCGGTGTCGCCGGCGACGATTAGTGGGGAATGGATGAAAAAATTGAGGACATAATTACTCGCGTATGATTGCTTTGTTTTTTTTTTTCACCAGCCTAACAATCATAGTATTTTAAAAAAACACGAGATACCTGATCGGGGACAGAAAAACGAAAGCAAACAACTCAACAAAGAAAAATAAATGGAGAACGATAGAAAAAAAAAAAAAACTAGCGTTTGTTTGCTTTTGTCATCACATAAATTCTAAATTGTCCAACTCAATTTGCATTTTATAGATGTCTTTTGACTGTTTCCACTATATGATATCACTATCTTTCGTGCTTCCTTTGCCTGTTTACTGTTCTTTTTATAAAGGTTTTTTTACTCACATGTTGTGAATGGGAAGGTACAAAGTTTGGTACGAATACTGCAGAGGGTGTAGTTTATAGTTTGCAACATAACACAAGAAGTTGAAAAGTTTGCTGGCCACCATAATGTTCAATAGCAATCATTTGAAGGTATGTTTCTGTTCAATGTAGACCCCACATTGAATGTTCTTTTAGGGTTCCGAAGGGTATCATGATTCGACACTATTTGTTTCATGAAAAACATGGCACAGGTAGTGTTACTATTTTAGTCTCTAGACAAACCTGTTTTTAGTTACTGATTTTATAGATTTGTCTTGGCTCAACGGTTAGTGACAAATACCAGGAACAAAAAGAAGAAAACAATAACAAAATAAGATAGATATATATCTTAATATGAAATGTTATGGGGTCCATCTTTATTTGTCCTTGGATAAATCTTTTTTTTTCCCCTGACGCCTTTTTAAAGTTCTTTTTCTTACTTTACTTATTGTTGTGCTTCTTCTATTCTACTTTCTAGTAAATCAAGGGTGTGTGGTTATCGTTCTTTGATTCCAATTGAGGAGAGAAAACTGTTATTGCAAGCATGAGTAACGAAGAAAACAAGGATGATGGGCCAAACCGTATCATGGTGTTTCTTCGCATTCGTCCTGCCAAAAAAGGAGAAATTGACCCCGCAGCTGGAACACATTTCTTGCTTGATGTTCAACTAGACAACAAAACCTGCCTATTGGAGTCAAAAAGTTATGAATATGATTATGTGTTCAATGGAGAGGTTGATCAAGGCGATATTTATACTCGTGTGGCCGCACCTGTCATTGGTAATGTCTTCAAGGGTTATTGGGGTACTGTAATGGTTTATGGCCAAACTGGAACGGGAAAATCGTTCACGATGTGTAACTTTAGTCCACTTAATATGGGTATTATTCCACGTGCTATGAAAGCGATTTTCAGTGCGGTGGAAAGTTGCCCTGACCGAAGCTTTACCATCATGTTTTCGTTTATTCAGATTTATCTTGATAAATTACAGGACCTATTTAATCCAGAGGCCCCTGAATTGAAAATAGTTAGAGATAAAAATGGTGTGTCATTTCCTGGGCTTGTGGAGCATACAGTAAAGGACGAGGATGACTTCCGTAGCCTTTACGATGATGGTAATCAGTATCGAGTGATCACTGCTACAAAAATGAATCCAGAAAGTTCACGTGGTCACGCTGCTTTATTTATTCAAGTAAAATCCGTTCCAAACGACGACCCAGGAGGTGAGGTTCGGAACGGAAAGCTGTTTCTTATTGATCTTGCCGGATACGAACGCTTCAGTAAAACTGGTGTTCAAGAAGGGCAGATGGCCTTGGAGGCCAAAGCTATTAACGCATCACTCCTTTCTCTTGGGAACGTTGTTCAGGCTTTATCGGACCGGTCTGAACACGTTCCGTGGCGTAATGCAAAATTAACTCGTATGCTTGAGGATGCTATTGGTGGACGTGCGAAATGTAGTATTATTCTTACCGCAGGTCCAAGTAGTGAACATATGCACGAAACGTTGGGTACACTCTATTTTGGATCTCGGGCAATGGCAGTGAAGACGAATGCTAAACTTGCTGTAAATATTGATTATAAGAAACTGGCTGCAAAATTACAAGAGTTGTTAACTGTGGCGGAGGGTCGTATTAACTCACTCGAAGTGGAGGCAACCCGACGACAATTGGAAAGAGAAGAAGCTGAGGCGGCATTTCATGCAGAATGTACTAGAATTAAACAGATTCAACAAGATCAGTTGAATCAATTAGTTGCATCTGGTGCATCAAAGGAACAAATTGAAGAACTTATCAGATCCAATGAAGAGGAGAATCAATTAATGGAAGAGCAACAATATCAACAACGACATGCACTTGAAGAGCGTCATGAGGAGGAATTAAAGTTGTCCCTGGAAAGACAACAACAATCGATATTGAATGAGACCTCAGCATCAACTACGACAATGAGTAAAGATATAGCTGAACTTCAGCGTCAGGTTTCTCACGAACGACAAGAGAAGGAAAAGTTCAGACTGAAAGCAAAAGAGGCTGAAGCGGAGGCACGGCGTGTATCAATGGAGATGAATGAATTACGAGTACAGATGGAAGGGAATTATGTTGGTTCACTGTCAGGATCTTCTTCTAATCCTGCGTTGAGGAATGAGTTTGCACGACGTATTGAGACTGTAAAGGCCATGTATGAAGAGAATATGCAACTTCGTATCTCTGAGATGGAAGATTTACACAATGAGGAAGTAAATCACTACAAGGGGTTGTATGACGATTTGAAAAGGACTATGGATAACGAAATACAATTTCAAAAAGATACGCTTGTTGCATCCTATGAAGATACAATTGATAAAATTCGTCAGTGTTCTACTGATGTTCAAGACAAGCTTAAAAAGAATCATCTCGTTATAAAGCAGTCATATCAAGCGCAAAAGGAGATGCTGGAACAAGAAAACAAGGAACTTGCTGCATATTCTGAAACGTTAGTGAAGCAAGTACGTTCATTGGGAGCTCAACCCGTTGAACGGCCAATAAATGCATCAAAATCTACACCTGTAATGATTTCAGGAGATGCTAACAAACAAATTCAGGAAATGATGTCGACAATTAATGAATTAAGGGCAGAATTAGCTTATGTTCGTGCAGAAAAGGATGCAATAGCGAAGGAAAATAAATCTCAGGAATCAAGAGGCAATGAGAGGCTAACCTCTGCGCAGGCTCTTCGACTGAAAAATGAAAATGAAATGTTAAAGCAGAGTAAGAAACATCTTGAGGAGGAGGTATTTTCAATGAAAGCTGAATTGGCCTTATCTCGTCATCAAGTGGAAGAAGATGATGATGAGGATGATAAAGAATTAGACATTTTTGGGGACAGCGAAGATATTCCTACCTTTATCAAAAATGTCTTAAAGGTTCCATATTTTGCGAGAACTCAAGCAATACAAAGCACACACAAATCTATTCTTGCATCATTGACCACTGATCTTGACGAGTATAGGCGTGTGCTAGAGTACCGATTTTTTTTCATGGGTGCCCCCAATGCGGGTAAGTCCAGCATTGTCAAGTGCCTTGCAGCATCGTCCTCTCCAATGATTCGGAGCACTCCGGAGGTTCTCACACCGACAGTTCATCCTAGTTTTACTCGTATTTCTGTGGATGATATGTATTGTTCCAGAAACGACTGGTATAAGACATATATTCAGTTTTGTGATTTGGATGCTCCGCAACAGCAACAGCACTCAGGTGGGTTTTTTAATTCCATTGGTATTTCAAAAAGCTCTAAGAGTTGTGGTGTCGTGGATCCTGCCAAGGTGCATATTGACTTATTGGATCTTCCAAGTGCTCCTGATTTTTGGCGTGTTATTCCTTCCTTCTTTTTACCTTCGAAGAGTGTGATTTACTGTTTGGTTTATGACCTTACAAAACCTGTGGAGGGTGTTAAACAGGATCTTGAAATACAACTCACACTTCTTCATGCGGCATGTAATCGAGCATACTCCAAGGAAATTGGTGGCGAAGCGGCTAAGATTGGATTTTGCCTGATTGGTACTAAAAAAGACGCGCTTAAAGATGCTCGAGATGCCGCGGTATTAGTTCATATTAACCGGATTGCTGTTCTACTTGGAGATACCTTCTTTCGCTTACGTGGTGAGAATGATCAGGGCCTTGTTTGTATTGGCAACTTTGCGATCAGCACAAAAGATTGGTCGGTTGTGAGTAGAAAACGGGATCAGGGACCAAGGACGTTTAAGGATCTGAGCTGCTTTTTGGGCACAATTGCATCACAGCTCTATTCGAATCGTCCGAGTAATCTTTTGCCATCCTCAAAGGACACCGCATCTCACCTAAGTTATATGCTGGGAGATGAATTGTTGGGAAGTTCCGCTGAAAAAACCTCACATCTTGTGCAAGCACAACGGCGCCTGCGCCAAGGCATTGTGACTCTGCTCACATGTTTATTTCGTGAGCGGAAGGTTCGATGGGCCATGCAAGAAAAAGAACTCAGGTTGATGATTTCTGAGCACTTGTGTTTGGATGCAAAAACAAGTTATGGTGTTTTTACAGAAAACTACGTTATTCGTGAACTTTTCTCCCGCGGGGTTATCATTGCTCTTCCCAGCGCTATTATTGAACCGAAGTATTTGCCACGTCTTGGTGACGCCATGCCTCTTCCACACGATGGAATTATCGTTTTGGACCCTAATAATCTAATGGTGAGCTACTCCCTATTTATGTGCCCAAACTCCCTGACGCGGGTACCAAACGGGACGCCATTTCTTAAAGATCGTGAAGTTATGTTGTTTGATTACTCCGCTATAAGCCGCTGTCAAACCACATGGGGCCAAGGCATTGTAACTGGTGATGTGACTCAGGTTGTTAATGTCAAGTTGTTGCCACAAATGGGTAACGATGTCAAAACGGTACAGGAGTTATACTGTGTTATGGGATTGGGATTATGTCTGAGGACGGAAGTTGCCATGATTTCCCCGGCCCATTTCTTAGTTCTCATGTCTGATTGCTTGAGTTACTATCTATCATATATGATTTCCTGCAATGGTGACGGTGTTGCAAGGCAGTATAAACTTAATGCGTGCCCACCAACCCTCTTTGCGTCTCTGCAAACGAGGCTGATTCCTTTTTCACATTTGCCTTCGAAGGACCCACGACACTTGGTGATGAACTGGGTGGACGCATCCTATTTGGTGCTCGACAAAAACCGTTTGAAGTACGCAGTTTTCGGCTCTAAAGCCGTGAAGGATGAGGCAATGCAAACAAATATTCCTCTTCGCGGCATCATGAAACACGAGGGTCAGTACTTGTATATTGGGATAACGGGACGCCACACAAATAGCGAGGAGGCTATAGCTGCGTGTAACGCAGTCATGAACGCTGTCCACTACGAGTTGACTTCTTTGTGCAGGCGGAGTTTCCGTGGGGTGAAGGTGAAATATCAAGACGTGCCCATTACTGGGGCTTCCTTAAAGCGTGAGAGTTTTGCGATTGGCCAGGAAACTATTTTGAGCCGCTACAAGGCGGATCCCAAAGTCATTGCAGAGCAGCAGCGGATCACACAAAACCTCAGCGATCCGAAGGCGAGGGAGATTGAGGAGGCCATCATTAACTTGCCGTTGAAGCTGCGTGAAAAAAAAGAATGAGTGAAAAGGAATGAGTGTTATGAAATCTTTTTGGTTTTCTTCTTATTATTGTTGTTATTATCGTTTATTTGTTAACTGAAAGCAAGAAAGAAATGGATTTGAAAGACTTGTTCGTGGATGCTTTAAACCATTATATCGTAAAGGTGTTACAAACCTTGTTTTGGCAAACCATTCCTCCTGGTAGCATTAATATATATGTTTGTGATGTCTTTGTTTTAGAATTTATTTTTTATTTTTTATTTTTTTGTTGAGAGGAGAGGTGTCTTTTTTATTAATGATAGTCGATATATTTCTCTCGTTCCCTAAATTGTCCCAGCAAATTTGTGCGGCGCGTCTGTATGTCTATGGGAGGTTGTTTCGGGAATCCGCAGCGACACCTTGAGGGATGTGTGCCTCACTTATTTATTTTTCTCATAGACATATTTTGTTGTTTTTTTCTACCCCTTCATTTTTTTCCCTTGGGATTTTGTTTTTGTTTTGTGGCTACTGTCGTTGCTACGTGTGTCTGTTTGGCTTAACGGGAGGCAATAATGCTGAGGAAAAGAGCTCATACGAAAAAAAAAAAACACACACACACACAACAGCGCTGACTGCCTCTGTCATCTTATATATATATATATCTGCCTTGTTTTTCTTCAAGCGACCGGGTCGAGGGAAGACGAATACGAGGACACAGTTAGGGAAGATGTTTCGCCGTTGTTGTCTTGCCACGCCTCATGTAGCCTCTACCACTGCAACGGTAGGCGGCGCTTTGACCAGCAACCAGAAGCGTTTTTTGAAAATGGCGAAGTCGGCGTTTGGTTTTTACCTGGCACGCCGTGGGCAGCGAAAGTTTCCGTTTCTGCGACGGCCACACATCAAAAATACTCACGCGATGAACCTGAGCGCGCCGTACTTTTGGAGCTTCATGACGGCGAAGAGTCAGACTTTTTTTCTACCCGAGGAGAACTACATCACGGGCGATTGGACGGGGAAGTTCTTTGTGTCGAAGCGCCAGGTGTACACCTTGCAGCATGCCACAAGCGGGGCACGGGTGCGGGTAAAGTCTTTTCCCTCTGTGTTTGAGCTTAGTAGTCCATCGCGGTGGAACATAGGGAAGGAGATGAACACGTTGACAAAACCTCGCATGGACCTTATCGACGAGCAGATGTTAACGAAGAAGCAACGATTAGACTACGTCAAGGCAGGATTGCTTCCCAAGTAAACAACCTTCTCTCAATCTCTTTTGTGTGTGTATGCATGTTTGCGACAATCCAACGTACACCCCGTCTATTTGTGACTCTCTCTCACACTCCGTCGTTGATTTGAGATTTACTCAGTCATGGCAGAGTTTACTATCTTTGATGCGTCGCGGCGGTGATGGTAATGATGGGGAAATGATGGTTGGATACTTCGCTCTGCTTATTTGATTTTTCCTGTTTGTAGCGTAGAAACCTGCTCCGTAGTCAGGGCCGGCCCGATGACTCGTGCCGGCCGCAAGTCTCTGCAAAGGGAGGTGATGGATGTGGAGCACAAAATAGTTATAGAGACTTCCAAGCGCCAAGATGCCGAAAAGGCGCTTTTGCAGTACCGTTCGCAGCAGCCACCACCTCTCTTCGGCATGTCACATGAAATGCGGAGCATTTTGGACGAGATTGAACAAGTGAAGGAAGAGAAGCGAACGCTCCGCGAATGTCTAGAGCGTGGTGTTGTGGAGGCCGAGCGTGTATCGGGGCAGTTATCACATGCTTCTGAGGCTATTCATCATACGGAGGCGCTTGAAAAAGAGATTCGGCAAACACTGCAGAAGATGAAGAGGCAACATACTGAGCTTCAACAGCAACTTCATGGGACACGTATGCAAGTGAGATTGATGCAGCAGGGGGTTGATTCACGGGAAAGCAGTGGTGCCGTACAAGGAGCGCAGAACAGCCTCACAAATGTGGAATATGATCCACCTCTTGAAGATTACTTGCATATTACGAAGAAACCTGAGAATCTGAAGGATAAAAGTGTACTACTTGAGAAGGCGGAGGCGGCGATGAAGTGCCTTACTGCATGCTCTCGTTGCTCGCTTCACAAACTTGGAAAGATTAGTGTGGCTTTGAACACCAATAGCATGTGCGACGACATGGAGAACACATCTAATGAGAGCAATTCTTTTGATTCAGAGGAGGGGGCAGACGACGCACGCCCACCACGAGTTCTTTTTTCTTCTGCGAGGGTGGTAATTGACCGCTGTGATTCATGTCTTTGTACAATTTGGTCTGGCCTGAGTCGCGCTGGTTTTGACCAATTGCATCTTCGGCGCCAACGCGATATGCAGTTTCAGGAGGCGTGCATGGTGGTGGAACGGGATTTGGCAACAACTGTTGGAAAATGCAGTGCGAGTCTGCAGGAGTTGGGTAACAAGGTTGCGGTGTGGAAAAAGAAGCGGTGCACGTTTGAGCGCCTGGCCCTTGAGGCGGAGTCGGCATACCAGTGCGATGTGGCCACAAATTCTTTTCAGGGGGAGGGTGACGGCGACCCCAGTAACGATGCTGAAGCTAAAAATGTGTTCGCGGAAAGCTTTGCTGATGCTGAGAAGCGGAGAGCGCTCTTGTTGGGAAACGAACATCGTCGACTGTACGCGACCAACAAGGCACTGAAAATGCAGCTGGAAACTTCCATGAGTGACTACGAGTCCGTCAGGGAGTTAAAGCATGCTTATCGTGACCTTGAAGTAAGGAAGGCCGAACTTGCTCACGTGAATAAACAGATGCGGGCGACAAACCGCTGGATGAAGCAATGCACTTGGGAGCTTGACGAGAAGGCAGTAATGGATTCTGCTGGAACTTTAACCTGACGTGCTACACCTTTTTTTTTCACATTATCGATGATTATTATTATTATTATTTTTGTTCATGCTACATTACCGCACGTATCGTCTTACTTCTGTGGAAGACATGCGAAATTGACGATCTGGCGTTTTCAAGTAGCAATGCTGCACTCATCTCTTTTTTGCTTACATCTAAATACATAGAGCTGTGTGTGTGTGTGTGTAGTTTTGGACTGCCATCTGAGGCAGTCGTAAGCCCTTTTGCTACTCCTTTTTCATTATCGCTCTAATTTTTTTTCTGTCTTTTACTTCTTTGCAGTGCATGCGTAAGTTGCATCTCTGGAGGCCGTTTTTGGCGAGCATTGCTCAACGCTGTAATGGTGATTTCCTCCTCCGTGACGTCTTTTCGGAGCTGGACGCGTGTGACATAACGCAACAGAGTAATCAACTAAAAATGGAGAGTTCGGCATCTCCGAAAAAGACGAGCAGCGGCGGCGGCGCGACTGCCACTCCAGCAGTAAATGCCACTACGGAAGAAGCGGATATTCTTACGGAGGTGTCAAGGCAACAACACCTTCAACGACAATTACAGGGAGCCAGAGATCAAGCTGCGTTGTCCCAGGCGGAGGAAGTGAGGAAAGAAGAGTTACGGCGCCATGCCCGCTATGTTGCCTCACCTCCTGCGGCGCTGCATCTCTCTACTGCAGAGTTGATACAGGAAAAGGCTCCACAGCATTTCACCCCCGCGGAAAATTCTTCATCAAAGCTTTCTGCACTTCCCCACCTGGAGTCGCCGGGGACTGTTGCAGTGGTCACCTTAGTCGGGAAAGTTCTCTCAGAGGCACAGATGCACGGCGAAGAGGCTTCTACGGAAGGCATGAATGACTCTTCTGTGGAAGAAAATGGACCGCATGCCTTCTTTTTTGTGGAATACAGTGTGCCTTTTCTGCCTTTATCAAAACCAGTCACTGTGCAGGTGCGTTGCTACGGTGTTACTCTGGCATCGTTTGCCACTAGACACGTCAAGATGGGTGATTTAGTGCATGTTCTAGGACATGTGCTGCCTCTTGATCCCAGTACTTCTAGAGAGCCTGCATTTTGTGTCTGCGCACTCCCCGTTGGGGGTAATATCTCTGTTGTGCTTTCGGCAGAGTGTGCCACTGCATATTGAAGCTTTGACGGGGATTACATAGTTGTTGAGTTTCGGGACATGATACGATCTGCACGTGTGGAGCTCCGTTTACTTCAATATTAGTTGCTATTTTTTCTCTCTTTTTTTTTGCTTTTTTTTTTGGTTGCCGCGTGGATCACGACTACTACCCGTGGGAGAGATAATCTGTAGTGTTACAACAACTTTTAAGCTAAATCGATAAAAAGAAGGACAATGCCGAAGAAAGTGCTTGTTCCTGTGGCCGATGGCTCGGAAGACATTGAACTCTCCTGCATCACCGATATTTTGCGCCGAGCGGACTTTGAAGTGACAGTGTCTACCGTCATGGATCACCAAACTGTTCAGCTTGCCAGGGGTCTGAAGCTAACCCCAGACTCGAATATCAAGGACGAGTCAGCTGCTGCGTACGACGGGGTGTTCCTCCCTGGTGGACTTCCTGGTGCTGATCACTTTGCCAAGAGTTCGCACCTCAAAAAAATCATGGTGGAAATGCACTCACAGGGGAAGTGGTACGGCGCCATTTGCGCTTCCCCCGCTGTTGTCCTTGGCTCTATGGGTTTGCTGGAGGGTGTGAAGACGGCCACCTGCTACCCTGCAATGAAGGAAAGGCTTCCTTCAGCTGTGCGGTGGTCTGCAGATCCCGTGGTTCGGTGTGGGAAGTGTTTGACAAGCATGGGGCCAGGCACAGCCATCGCGTTTGGGCTTGCTATTGTTGCCGCCCTTTCGACGAAGGATCACGCGCAACAGCTGGCGAAGGACTTGCTCGTTTACGGGACTCCTGAAGTGGAAAAAACACTTGGCCAATTCTGAACACTAGGAAGACCGGAGAGCGTTTTTTTGTTTTTTTTTACGGTTTTACTTGTTTTTGTTTTTGTTTCTTTACTTGGACGATGATTTTTTTATTGGGCGATCATCTGTTCAGCTTGTAGGGGGAAGTAGGAACAAAAACACACACGTTTGGGGAGTTAGTTAATGTGCCGGCTGGTGATACGTTTCAATTGCTGGTGTTAGCATGGGTGGGGGGAACAGCGGTGGCGTTCTTCGTCTTGCGAGCGTGGGGTGTATGGGGTGTGCCCGCTGCTGCTTTCTACGTGGGATTCTCTATTTCTATCTTGTTCTCTCTTGAAAAATGCATTTTTTTAGGCTTTTAAATTTCTTGACAGGCGTGTAACTCTGCTTTTTTTGTGTTTGTTTACTTGTGTTGATTTTCCTGCGCGCTTCCGCGGAGCAGACGGTGGAATATCAGCAAGTTTTGTCTGGACATGGCCGGTTGACGGTGGGCCAATAAAAATCCATTGGATTTCAGGCTCCGTTTCTGCGCTTTACCCTGTGGAGTGCTTGGAGCTGGGAAGTTGATTCTTCTTGACAGCGGGTTTTCCAGCGATTTAGAACGTGTTCGCTTTTATTTGGAGGAAGTAATGGGCGGCGGAACGTCTGGCAAGGCAAGCCACAGGTTTCAGAGAGGGTGAGGCTGGTTGTTTTTACGCGTTCTCATTGATTACTCCGGGACATTTAAAGGGTATGAGGACTGTGGCATTCCAGACGCATACCACTTGGAATCTAAAATTGTTATCGTGTGGCGAAAGGTCGTGTTGCGTAAATGTTCCAGTCATATTTGTCGCAGTTTGTGGCGGGTCGTTTAGGTCGTAACGTACCTGAGCATTCGCTTATGTTTTCTGGGGGGTTGTTGGGCTCCCTCTGGCAAATGTCAACAGGGGCGTTGCACATGGACGATGCAACCTCTCTTCCGCTGGGTTTTCGTGATTAGGTGGCTATTAAGTGTCCTGGCCACACGGCTCATATGGTTTGCCTTTGCCACTTGTACTCGCGTATTTTTGATGTAAGTGATATGTTTGTGTCAATTAGAGGGATATTTTTTCTACAGCTCCCGCACGACTTTGAGTGGGCGTATAATCGGACGCTCCACCGTCTGCGGAGCTTGTCTACACACTGTGCTTTGTTAGCACATGAAAGAAGTATGGACGTCGAGGAACGCTGTGGCTCATGGAATGCGCTGGTCGACAAAGTCGTTCATCATTTTGAGTCACCAGCCAAGAAGAATTTTCGCTTAGAGTGTGTGCGGTGCCTTATAACGGCTAGGCGTTCTGTGTTCCTAGGCGGAGATTTATAGCCTGACATGCTTCCTCGCGGACCTCTTCCTCTTTTCCAGGAGGGGCAGGATCTCCCCTATTTGCATGTTACGCATTTTGAAAGCCTCCCATTTGTCTGGAATCTTTCGTGAGCCGTTTAGCTTTTTTTTTTTTTGTTGTCGTTGTTGCCGGTGAGTCACCGCTGGCATCTTTTGCCTTGCATACTCCTTCCCCCTCCTTGATGTCTATGCATTTCTTCTTTCTTTCTCTCTCTCCCCCCCCCCCCTCCTTTTTTTTTCTGTTATTATTGTTTTGTTTTTCTCTTCTTACTTTTGCCTCTGTGGCTGCACTCGCGGGTGGACGTCAATGCAGGAATTGATAATAACAGACACATTAGTACATCGACATTCAAAGGCCCATTTTATCTTTGGACCATCTCCGGGCAGGTTCAACAGCAGCAGCAGCAGCAACGGCAGCGGTGAAACTGGCAAACAAAAACCGAAAGGAAAAAAAAAAAGACAAATATAATTAAACAACAACAACAAGCAACGAACCGCATTTTTCTTTGGGGAGCGAGAGGAGGGGCATTGACTGAAAGCAACACATACACACACACAAAGAAAAATATAATAAACAAGCAAACAAGCGGACAATCATGAACAAATTATTTATTCAGGTCGTCTCCGGTGCTCCGCGGCAAATGTACGACTCGATCCCTGCCAGCTCACCGGAGTACACCATTCTTTGCGCACAAGCACCGGACCCAGAGGACCGTATTGCTTTGCTTATGCGGCGCTTTACCACCTCCACGGAGGGAAGTTCGGCCCAAACAATGTGTTACCTCCTGCAAACATGTGCCTCAGCAAACGTCTCACCAGATGAGGCAGAACACATAGTTGAGACACTTGTGGAGTTTGCCGATCACCACCCAAGTTGGACTGAGACCATTAAATGGATTTGTGCCCTTATCCATTATTACTGCACGGATGACGTCACCGTTTCTATTTTTTCCGAGTGTGGTGCGCCTTCTGTGGCGGTTCGAGCGTTAAAAGAAAATGTACAAAACGACCAACTTGTCCTGGCGGCATGTGCATTGTTGTCGCATTTTAACTTGTACCCTATAGGTGATGGGATTTCTCAACTTGCTCGTGCTCTTCAAGCTCATCATGCAGATGCACTGGTTTGTAAGGTAGCCTGCCGGGCTCTTGCGGAGTTCACCTCATATGTATTGGAATGCCCTTCAAGTTTTGTGCCATCTAATAAGGAGTTTGTTGAGGCCAATGGAGTTGAAGTGCTTGAAAGCGTTCTGCGGGACCAAATTGGTGATGAGGAAACTACACGGTATGTCGCTCGGATCGCCGCAAACGTGACAAGTTCAGGTATTCCAAACTCTCTGGAGGCAGACTCAAAGGTTATTTCGTACCTTGCAGAAGCCATGGGACGCTACGCAGACTCTGATCTTTTGTGCAGTCACGCTTTGCATGTTTTTAGCAACTTCCCCAATTCCTCGTACATTGAGTGGGATACCGTTGCAAAAATTTTCAAAACGACAGAGTCAGAGGCAACCACGTTGGAGGCAATTCATTTTTTTTGCAGTGTTGCAATGAATGTTAAAACACAAAAGCAGCTGATTTATTCTACAGGTTGTCTGCAGCGGGTACTGGAAGTGATGCGCAAGCATGAATCTAACGGGGCTATTCAAGCAAATGCTTGCAGTCTACTTTCCTATCTTTCCTTTGACTCAGAAACGATAACGTCGGAAATAACAGAGTCATGCGGAATTCTCTTGGTTTTGAAGGCTATGCAAAATTTTCCTGACAATGAAGATTTACTGGTCTCTGCATGCGCTGCACTCAGTGGGTTGACATTCAATAATTTTCAGGGGCAGCAGGTTATTATTCAGGAGAATGGTGTCGCACGTATTTTGGATGCTATGCGTTTTGGAAAAAGTGCGCGGCTGCAGGAAAACGGTTGTTTGGCTATTGGGACGATGTGCTGGAACAGTGAGTTAAAGGCGGACGTTGTTCGTTTGAATGGAGTGGAGTTGATTATGAAGGCTCTGGAGGAACACTATACAAGTCCTGGTCTCGTGAAGAATGTTTGTCGAGCTTTAGCTCAAGTTGCTTTTAATTGTGAGGCTTACCGCGATGCCATGTGCGCAAGTGGAGCAATTCCATTAATTATAAAAGGTATGGCGCAACACCCAGATTATGACAGAGTACAAATGCACAGCTGCGTGGCCCTATCCTATCTTTCCTGGAATAATGAAGAGAATTCGGCAAAAATTGCGCAAAACAAAGGGTATGGTGTTATCATCAATGCCATGAGAAATCACCTACACAACTACGAAGTTCAAGAACACGCAGCACGTGCAATTGCGAATATTGGCACGGTTCCATGTGAGGACCTGGAACAGGCACCTGAACAAATTGTTGCTGCAATGCGACGCCATGAGCATGTGAGCGAAGTACAGGAGGAAACGTGCCGTGCTATTGTTACTCTTTCCTTAATTTCCCCTGCATACAAGGACAAGTTGTGTGAACTAAATGTTGTGGAATTTGTTGTGGCGGCAATGCGTAATTTTGCTGGTGATCAGGTGGTTCAGCAAGAGGCATGTAATGCGCTAGCTCATCTCGCCTACGAACATGCGAAGCTTAATAAGGCGGTAACGGAACTCAATGGTGTGGAGGTCCTCCTGACTGCCATGAAGACGTATGTAAATGCACCTAAGGTGCAGTTAAATGCGTGTGGCGGCCTAAGCGCATTAGCATTTGACAACACCCTGGCCCAACAACAAATTTATGATCTTGGAGGTGTTGCCTGTGTCATTCGCGCAATGACAAATTTTGAGCGTCTACGCATGTTGGAGCTGGGATGTTCAGTGCTAGGAACCTTGGCATGGAACACTGAAATAAAGGAAAGGGTTGCTGTTGTCGCCATACCAGAGATCTTAAAAGCCATGCGTGTACACTATCAAAGTCCACTTTTGCAGAAATCAACTTGTCGGGCTATATCTCAGTTTGCGTTTAACTCGGAGAGCAATCGCAGACTTCTCGCGGACTCCGGGGCTATACCACTTATTGTGACGGCAATGCGCTCGCATATTACGATGGACAAACTTCTTGTGCACGGAATCAAGGCTCTGACGTACTTATGCTGGGAAAATACTCAAGTTGCGGAGGCCATTATCAACGAAGGCATTGAAGAGGTTCTGCAAAAAATCGTTAACACGTACTCCTCGTCGCAACGCGTCTATGGTGAGGCCGTTCATCTTTCTAAGATTCTCTTCCGCAAAGTGTCAAGCAGTCCTCAGGCGAGGATGTGCTCTCCACCATTCTTTTCTCCTGTGTCAATGTCGCAAACACCTGGGCCTGGGGTCACCCAAGCTGAAAAGGCGATGTTTCTTAGCCCTCCCACGCAAATGGACATGAATGTTCCACAATTCCACGCCCTTCCCCAGGAACTGAGTCGACAGGAAGGACGTCTGCAGCGCACTCAGTGGGGCAATCAGGAACACCAGGCGAGAAGTGAGAGTAAAGGGGAGGGACCCAGTCGTCGACGGCGAAATAGACGTCGTGGGGGAAACAACAGTTTTGAAAGGCGCCCGGGACAGCTTGAAACTCACGGGGAGGAACAGAGTACAGGACCCCATCACATGGACCCTTACGCCGCACGAGCACAACAACGGGATAATGGCGCATCCAATCCGTTATCCGTGGAAGACTTGTGGGATGATCCGGATCCTGGAACATACCACGGCAACCGTCAGTTGGGCAATCTTAACTGGCAACGGGTGGAACTGGCACGCCAACACAGTGAAGGACAGCGACTTCCTTCCGAACTGCCTGCACGTGGTGGTGGACGTAGCAATAGGCGACGTGGAAACCCCCGGAACAGTGGCCGCGGAAGGGGACGAAGTGACCAGTAGTGGGGCCCACTGACACGTGTTTCACGGCGTTATGTTTTTCTACTACGCCGTTTCTCCTTGTTTTTGTGTTTCTGTTGGTCTTGTATGGACTGAGAAGGATAGAATGGATAAAGCAAGCAAGAGGATGGAAACCTAATTTCTCGCTCGCGCAAACACGGAAGCACCGCGAGATGTATGATGGAAATAAAAGGTGGGGCGCGAACCGCATGCTAAGTACAAATACGGCAGAGAGTGTTTTTGTGTGTATTTTTTTTTTTTTTTTTCAAAACAAACGCACACACAAGCAGTAAAAAGGCAGATTGTGTAGTATATATAATCTTTTTGTTTCCCCCACTTGTTTATTACTTCTCTTCCTATCCTTTCTTCTTTATTTCCTATTGTGTTTTGAGCTCCTTCCCCCATGATTTATTTATTTGTTCATTGTTTCAATTTTTTGTTTTTACCTGCGCATACTCACGACAAGAGGACTTACGACACACCTAAACAGATAACAATGAGCATTCCAGAGTGGGCAAAAAGCGAACAATCCATCGATGAAGCAAAAAGTTACTTACGTCAGGGTAACTCAGTGGATTTCTTTGAGCTAGTCTCCAGCTCTGTTCTCCGTGAGCACCCTAACGATATAGCAGCCCACTGTTTGGAGTTGGTGCAGGCGATTGCTGACGGGAGGGAGGCCCCAGGTGGTAGTGATGCTCATAACAAGAAAGTAGAAGACAATAGGTATGTGCGGGAAAAAAACATTTGTGAGTTCCTCAATGAGTGGATTCTTGCATTGCTGAAGGAGCGTCCCAAGACTGATAGTGACCGCGTTGAGTTTCACAAACGCTACTTGGAATCAGTAATCGCCAGTGGGAGCGATCGTAATGAAGGCACGCTGAGTGAAGATAAAGGAAAACCGCAAGATAGTGAAGGTAAAAGCCAGACGGCAGAAAATTCTGCGAAATTGCCCCAATAACGGAAGAATCTGGCATTCCATGTGATTCCTGAGCATGATGGACATTGTAGTCACCTGGTTGGGAACAGATAGGAAGACTTTTTTATGTAGTTTTTGATTTGCGCATTTTAAGAGACGGTATTTCATGTCTTATTCCTGTATGTTTACCTCTTTTGTTTTGTCATATCACTTGAAGGAATACGGCTTTTTTTTTTTGAGTATTTTCTATTTTTTAGAGGGCGGGGGTGAAGGATTTGACAACAGTGTAGAAAGGAGTCAGACATCGTGACGTGGGGCAATGATGCGGCATTGGATGTTAAGAGTGGCGTCGTGGGGCCGCCACGGTCCTCAAAGGGCTATCTGCTGCACACAATTCGTGTTCCAGCGTGGCCAGTGGGGGGATGAGCGCGGCGGTGGCAGACGTGACTACGGCAACCAGGGCAACCAGGGTGACTATGGTGACTGGTGGTCAGCGAGGTGGTGGTAGACGCGACTACGGTGACCAGGGCAACCGGGTGACTATGGTGGTCAGCGAGGTGGTGGTAGACGTGACTACGGTGACCAGGGCAACCAGGGTGACTATGGTGGTCAGCGAGGTGGTGGTAGACGTGACTACGGCAACCAGGGCAACCAGGGTGACTATGGTGGTCAGCGAGGTGGTGGTAGACGTGACTACGGCAACCAGGGCAACCGGGGTGACTATGGTGGTCAGCGAGGTGGTGGTAGACG